CTAACTTTCAATCTTAAATGTGTTCCTTTCTAAAATGATACTAAGTTTCCCATTTACTAGTACAACTCATTCTATTGAAAGGTCCTATACAATATTTTATTTGAAAAGAAAGTATTTTGTTAACTGCAAAGAATGGGTATCACTGTCCTCACGGGTTATATAACACTATTATAACCTAACCTAACCTACTACAAAATAATTTTTTAACATTTGCACCTGAAGGCTAAAAAAATTATGTCACTTCTTTATAATTCAATGTAACTGTTCGATCAAACGTATGAGAAAGCTTTTTCATTTTTTTGAAAGCACCCTTTTTTTGTTAAAAATTGGTAGCTGCTGTTCAGCACGCGTAAAACCAATAATCCCTTTGTAATTGATTCAATCATATTTCAAAAACGCCTGAGTAAAGTTTGCTTTACATGTTTTATTATTCTTTCGCCAGCTACACGTGGAGCGTGCTTATCAAGTGGACAAAAATATTCGATGAGTTAATTGAAACTAAAATATGCATGAAAACTGTGTCTGAAAGTAGGTAATAAGAATTTGAAACTATTAGAATACAAAAAAAATTACAAGAGATTAACTAGTCAGGCTTTGTATAAATTGATATTTTTCAAATAAAATCGTTACTAAAATATTGTTTAGTTTATTTGCGCAATCATTTAATAATTATTTAACATTAGTCTAAAAACAAACCATTGGAAAATTTATAAGGATAATCTCTGTGGGACGCATGAGGGATTTTACCACTAAACGAAATTCTTTGTGTAGGACACTTTCCAAGTTGGTATTTCTAGTAGCGACCCCAGAGACCCAACAAAGGTAGAGAGTCGGTTTTTATTTTAAATCACGGTGTCGACGTTTAGTGATATGTGACCCACATAGTAGAGTAACTTTGTATATTTTTCTTTTTCTTTATATCTTATAGGATATATTTGTTTTGAGAAAAATGTGTTTCCTTTAATCCCTTTCAGAGGTACGTTATGTCCTTTTATCAAGAGTAGAATCCTTATACAAGCAAGTAATAAAAGTGCTTACAGTATTGATTCCCGAATTTATATATTTGTTGTTTAACCAGTTGGGATAAAGCTGATGCCATTTTCATTATTGAATGCCGGATAATAAAAGATCACAGAAATTATTACTGTTTAAATTTTAAATTACAATCTTAAATTCAAACATAATTTTGTGTAGACCCCTGTTCAAGTCATTTGAGTTAAAATCACACATTTAAAAAAATGCATATTGTTTGACCTTTGAATATCTCCATGTTGTAATAGCTGGAACCGTTATTTCGATATTTCGACACAATCACCTCTTACTCAAATGTCATTTGTCGTTTATGCCTTGTGTCAAAAATTTTAATTTTTATTTAATTTGAATAGATCAAATAGATCACATTTATTTCAATTTATCTTCGTCATCCGATGTATTAGATGATTTTTATTTATCTTAAAATCCGTCTGATTTTATAAGGTAAGTTTTAATAATAATATAATATATTTTGTACAATGATTTCTTAAATAAATTGTCAAGTTTTAAACATAACCTCAATATCAACAATGAATAACACCTGGTTAGTTTTATATAAAATTATATATTATTTTTTTGGAATAAGATATTATGCTTTACTATATATAAATATATTAAATAAGATTTTTCCTTTTAATATTAATTTTAGTCTCTGTGAAATTATTCATTTAATAGTTTGAAATTATTAATTTAATAAATAAAGCATTTTATCTAAATCCTTTTTAAACTTTCTTTCTCCTATGATAACATTTTAATCATTTTTAGCTAATGTCTATATCTAGACGGTTTTGGATTCATCTCTAGACGTTTTGGATTTACCTCTAGACGTTTTTGGTTCAATCTCTAGACGGTTTCGAGTTCGAGTTTAAATTTGAATACTGAAGATCATTCACACGTTTCATCACTAGACGTTTTATCCCAAGCCGGTTGAGTTTGAATACCATATATCTCGAAAACCATTCACGTTGCAGAATTATGCAGAATTACAAATAGGGATTCCGAATCCCTTGGTGGAAAATGCCTGACGAAATACCATGAGATAACCTAGATTTACATTCCCTATATTATCCAACTTACCAAAAGATAAGTGCATACTCAATAAATCGTTTTAAATTTGAATTTAGTATAACTTATGTGAATTATAATTTGATAACTACCTTATCTAAATCATGGTTACGAAATAATATAACACCCTGTGAATATGTACGTTATGATTTGTAAAGTTTGGTCCAAAGGCAGGCGCGCTAAACATACATTCAATAAAATAATAGAACGTGTAGTTGGACAAGGTTCTATTAAATCATAATATTAAAGTACAGGATCAAGAAAGATCAACAAGAGTATTCTTAAAATATTACAAAAAAAATTTCAGGAGTTCCTTTTGGTCTTTGTTGACGAGCGGTCGAAATTATTCGAATAAAGTAGATTTCTTTCTTTGTGTCCGAAAGTAGAGTCACGGGTCGCGGTTATTTATTTTTTTGTAAAACCATAGTGATAAAAGTAACGTGTGCTTCCGCCAGCCTTGCAGCCTAACAGATAGAACATAATGCTTATGTAAGTATATAGTTTAAAGTAGTTATATTTAGTTTCTGTGTAGTCAGTAAAGACTACGTGATTGCGAAAGCAATATTAGTTATTTTTATTTGTTAAATAAACAACAGTTATTTGTTTTACGCTTGTTTCAATTTTCTTTGGTTTATGAAAACTTACGATCATTCAAAGGCGGTGGTATTGGCTTAATCTGATCTCTGAGAGGGAAAGAGAGAGAGAATACTGCCTGTAGGGCAAATCCTTTCCCCGTCCTCTGAATCATCGTCAGGAAGTTAGGGTCCCTTCTGAACTTAACCCCCTAGCCTTGTGTTGTCTAGAGGCCAATTTAAATAGAAATTGGGCCCCTGTATATAACTCGTGGTTAGCGCTAAGAGTGTACTCAAGGGTCGGTCAAAAGGCCTATATTCTCACTCTTAACAGTAATATTTGTTAGTGGTTAGTGATTTTCTATATTTGTATCACTAATCTAGAGTCAAGTGTAGCAAGCTTAAAATATAGTGGTGCCCAACTTCTTTTTCAAAGTTATTTGAGTCATTTAAAAACCTAACCCACACCCTATAAATTGAACTTAAACACATATAACAAGTTGATAAAATAACTAGATATCACGTTACAATGTATTTAAGGAGTGCACATTGTATTACCCATCCTGCATACAGCGATTTTGTACAGCCACATAAGCCTAAATATAATATGAGTTAAACATATATTGCCTTCTCGACCCATGATAAAGGTCACGTATGCACTGGCTTAAATAAAGTCAGGCCACATTTCTTTGTACGTGCTACCTCACATGTTGCAATGCTTGTCTCGCTCCCTCTAATCGAAGTTAGTTCTTCAGAATATTTTGGACTCTAGTAAATCCACGCCTACTCACACAAGAATCAAGTAGAAATTTTGCCACTCTACGCAGTCCTCACACGCGCCAGGCTAGGGGATCTTTAATAGGGAATTGCTAACTCGTGTTATAGTAGTGTGCAATAACCATAGATGGCGCTACTTTACACAAAGTTTGCTCGTTGCATTCGTCGAGCAGGTTCAGAGTGTGTTGAGAGTAATGCAAGCGTACGCACGTTTCTTTGTCATTGTTTACTCTAATAACAATTCGTGCAATTTTAATTCTAATAATAAAAAATACATGATTATAATTTTAAATTTGATGTTGAATAAAACAAAGTTCAAATTTGCAACTAAAACTGTTCTCACCGTTAATAGTGTAGTCTCAAAACTTCCAATTCACTAAGTTGTAAGTAGACACAATAATTAATTGTTCATCATTCAATTTTAACTTTGTCCATTTCTGGATCCTGAAGATAAATGTATTCACATTCAAAAGCTTGAGATAAACCTACAAGAGTACACATATCGTTTTGCTGCAAACCCAATAACTCCAAAGTCTGCCGAGACATGTTCGCCTTTCTAACTTAACTATGACTTGGAATTATGGTATAGCAACCGTCATTCCTTACGTGACAGTCTGTCTTGGATGCGTATTTCCCACATACTTTGATTACTATATGAGGCAAGAGAGAGGTCCGACACGCCCAACATAGGGCGCGGCCATTTTGATCCCTGTGACACAGTTTACAGCTAAAGAATCAGATCACTCACTCTGCGTCGGCACTTTTAATCTCAATGTTTCAGTTTAAACACTGTGCAACTCGGATAATACAATATATGAAAACCGCCTGTAATAAAACAGCAGTCTTCTGCGTATCCTGAATTTGTATCCCTGGAGTGGATGTTATTTTAGAACTTTCAACTGGTCCGAGTGAGCTAACTGATTCTTTAGCAATAAACTGTGACTTCAAAAATAATATTCACTGACACTGACAGCAGCAAGCAAAATATCAGGTTAGTTTTAATCATCCGCTTCTGCTTCCGGAATTGTCGGTTTAGTTGTTTTAACCTGTCAGATTAAAACAAGAAAACCGAAAATTCCGAAGCGGAAGCGGATGATTAAAACGCACCCACATACTTTGATTTTCTTTTACTATACGGAGAATGGTCGCATTGCGCAGCTTTCTGAGTGCCTTTTAAAAGGAGATAGAAAACTCCGCCATTTTGAACCTTTATTACGTGTTGCCTACATCTTGGCGCAATATTTTTAATAGGTGCGTTTTAACCATCCGCTTCTGCTTCGGAATTGTCGGTTTTCTTGTTTTAATCTGACAGGTTAAAACGACTAAACCGACAATTCTGTGACCTACAGGTTGTTTTTTTATTTCTTTAACAAGTAAGTACATTACGCTATTTTTTACTGTTTGAAAGGTTAAAACTCTGATTTATTCTAATTAATATGGAGTTAAGAGATTTGCATTCTTAAATTTTTTGAGGTTATGCTACTTCGATATTGGAGTTAACAGTTTTGACAATATAAAATGCATTTTATCGTTAATCAATTTAAATCGAACAGTCTCTAAATTACCGATTTATAAGAAAACAATATCAAAACAGATTCATTTTTTTTTTCCAGAATGTCAAGAAGGTCTGACAAAATAGTGAAGTTAGCCTTGGCTAAAACCAATTCATCTGTGACTTTTTCTGTTAACACTGATGGTTTTTTATCTGAAGTAGTGTCTGAAATCTTTAATGATACAAATTTCCCTGCAGATAACCCTTACCTGGACTTACCTAAAGTTCACATCGAAACAGTAGGCAATTCTCAGATTGTTAATATTGAGAGAGAACAATTATTTGAGAACGATTTAACCCTAGTTAAAAACCTTGACAATACTTTTCCTGAGCAAAAAGATTTGCGTGAAACTGACTTGAGCATAGTAGAAAGTGCTAATTTTGCTAGTACCGAGAAATTACACTTAGGCCTACTTGAAGTTGACTTAGGCTTAGTTGTGAGTTCTGATGTTGCTGTTTCTGAACAAGAAGAGATATTGAAAACTAACTTAGACATAGTAGAAACTGATATTGCTAGTACCGAGCAATTAGGCTTAGGCCTATTCTTAGTTGTGAATCCTGATGTTGCTGTTTCTGAACAAGAAGAGGTACCGAAAACTGACTTAGACACAGTAGAAAGTGCTGATGTTACTGCTCCCGAGCAAGAAAACCCCGTCCTTACCGAAGTTAGTGAAAATGGGCCTGTAGACTTTGATGTTCAGATTACTAATATTACTAATAATGTTACACCTAGTCGAAAACGAAAGAAACGCCATCAAGTTGGTAATGCTACGTGGAAGATAAATAAATCGAAAGAAGCTAGGAAGACTGGAAAAGAGTACTTAGGTAAGAAAAAAAATGATGCAGGACAGTATGAGTACAACACTAAGAGAGATGCCAGGAAAATTAAAGTCCGTTGTAAATGTAAAAGAAAGGAAAACAGATTGTTACAGTGTGCGTTATTAACTGAAATTGAAAGACAAGAGAACTTTAATGAATTTTGGCAACTAGATTGGGAGGGTAAAAGATTATTTGTAAATTTTTTAATAAAAAAAACTGAAACTGCAAGAGCCAGAGGAAGGAAAGAAGATACCAAAAGTAGAAGGAAATACTCATGTCAATATTACTTAAAAAAAGACGGGGGTATTATTAGAGTATGTTAAACTATGTTTCAAAACTCGCTGTCTATTACAGAGTGGATGGCTCACCACTGGCAAAATGAACAAAATTATGTTCAAGAAGAAACTGGGGAGAATGGGGATGCATTACCGGATGACGATGGAAACGAGATTAAGAAACTAAGAAAATCAGTTGCAGTTAGATTAGATTAGATTAGATTTAATTAGGACTATGGGCCATGTGGCCTCCCCCACCTCGACCTTTTCAGATCTATTGTGGATATCCTTTAATCATTGTTTAGAGTACCTGGTCTAATGCGGTCTTTTGTAGTAAACTCCATAGACTGGAAAGTAGTTCTCCGGTATAGCTAGTTGCCCTTGGTTTTTCTTCTCCAAGTGTAAGGAATCTCAGTCTTACTAGACCTTCGCAGTAGCACAATACGTGTTCTGCCGTTTCCTCTTCTTCTTGACAGAATCGGCACAAGGCCTCTTCTGTCAGACCGATATTGAACATATGTTTGTTAAGCCTACAATGCCCTGTTAATAGACCTACCAGTTGCAGTTAAAGCATTGGAGAATTTTCTGCAAACTCTACCTAAAGTAGAATCTCATTATTGCAGAAAAAGAACAAGTAAATTGTACTTGGATCCTTACTGGAAATCCAAAAGGGAGCTTCACTTGTTCTATAAGAGCAGCTGGTGTTCTCAGAAAAATGTAGAATCTCTCTCTGAATGTAAATTTGCCCAAAAGTTCGAAGACATGAACTTGGCCTTGTTTCAGTTAAAAAAAGATTCTTGCGATAAGTGTAAATCCTACAAAACTGGAAACTTAAGCAATGAAGATTAGGAAGCTCATGTGCTGAAAAAAGACGAAGCTAGAATGGAAAAAGAGACAGACAAATTTAACCCAAATTATGTGACTTTCACAATGGACTTACAATCCTTGTTGCAGTCTCCTAAGTCTACTGTGTCTGCACTGTATTATAAAATGAAGCTTTTAATCCATAATTTCACAATCTTCAATTTAACAACACATGATGGTTTTTGTTTTCTTTGGAACGAAACTGAGGGTGGTCTATCTTCAAATGAGTTTGCCACAATAATTTCTAAGTTTTTGCAGTCACAACTCCCTTTGCCTGAAGGAAATACTACACTGGTACTATACAGTGATGGATGTTCATATCAGAACAGAAGTTCAACTGTGGCTAATGCTTTGTTGCATTTTTCCTGCACAAATAACATCGTAGTGGAACAAAAATATCTAGAAGTGGGTCATACCCAAATGGAGGCAGACACAATGTACTCCATGATTGAGAGAAAGCTAAAAAATGTAAAAATCAATGTCCCAGCAGATTACACAAATGTTTGCAGAGAAGCCAGGAAAACACCAGCTAAATGCAATGTCGAGTATTTAGAACACACATATTTTAAGAACTTTCAGAATTATCTATGCTTCAATAGTATTAGGCCAGGCAGAGGAATCGGGGATCCACGTGTGACAGACATCCGTGCTCTCCAATACCTTCCTGATGGAACAATCAACTTTAAGTTACACTTTTCGGACCAATGGCAGCCTTTACCTCAGCGAAAAAATCAGAAAGTTGAAAGAATGGCTCTTGAAAATTTTCCGCATCTGTACGATAAAAGGTTGGCAATCAAACGAAGGAAGTTTGATGATCTGCAAGAACTCAAGTCTATTTTAGAAAAAGACTACCACAATTTTTACAATATTCCCTTTAAATAAATCTTTGGATCATTAGTTTTGTTTAGAATTAGGTTTTCATAAATCAATATTTTGTAACATGCCTTTGATTGTAACAATATATTTTATACTTTTATAATAAAAGGCATTTTATAATGTTAAAAGAACATTTTAAAAACTATTTAGTTTCATGTTATCATTTTTTCATTGATAACCATTATATAACAATGTTTTTTTACGCTCCTGAAAAGTTTGACATTTTGGAGTTACGAGGTTTGCTAATTAGTGTAGCAATATAGTAAATTTTTGTTTAAAATATCATGTCTTTCCAGACATTTGAAAACAGGGTCTAGTTCTTTCCATCCCAAAAGTTACGTCACCAGCTAATCTGAGTGATCTTCGTCCCATAACTATTCTCCCGGTTCTCTCGAAAGTTTTGGAAAGAGTAGTAGAAATACAACCTAGAGAACATATTGAAAAATACAAAATTCTTCTGTCCATTCAATCTGGTCTCAGACCGGGATATAGTTGTGGAACTGCTCTTCCCAATATAGAAAACTCGATACAAAAAAGGTTGGTGTCTTAATTCTACTCGATTACAGTAAGAATTTCGATATGATCAACCACGAGTTATTCTTAGCCATTCTACATTTTATAGGATTGAGTTCTACTGCTATAACATTCTTTAATAATTATTTGACTGACAGAACACAAAAAGTAAATTATAACGGAGTATCGTCTGAAATTGGTAAAATATCACGAGGAGTGGCTCAAGGTTCCATTTTGGGTCCTCTCTTCTATACAATATATAATAATAATTTTTCAGCAATATTACAGCATTGCAAAGTGCACATGTATGCTGACGATACCCAGCTGTAAAGATTCTTTCATAAAAATGATGAAATTTTAGCGCTACAGGAAATAAATAATGATTTAAACACTAATAGAATTTTCGACCAAGCACAACTTAGTAATCAACAAGAACAAGTCATCTGTCATATGTTTTGGTTTCAGTCGCAAAGGCCTCCGATTGTGTAAATCATGATATTTTAATTAATAAGTTACAAATTTATGGCATACGGGGTTCTCCTTTACAATGGTTTAAAACTTACCTAAAAAATAGAAATCAACAGGTGCGGGCGAATGGTGAGGATTCTACAAATCTAGCAATAAGCAGTGGAGTACCTCAAGGATCAGTATTAGGTCCAATTTTGTTTTTATTATTCATCAACGACATCAGAGACTTAAGAATAAGTGGTAGAATTACTTTATTTGCTGATGACACCAGTGTAACCTGGAATAATTCTAACATGCAGAGATTACAATCTATCATAAGTGAAGATCTAGTGACTATTAAGTCCTGGTCTGATTCGAATGGACTTTGTTTCAACACCAGAAAAACTGTAGCATTGTCTTACAGAGGTACTTTACAACCTATAACTTTAAACAATAATCTGATCCAAACGGTGACTTCAATCAAGTTTTTAGGTCTTTATGTAGACGATTCTCTAAAATGGTCTGCTCATATAGATACCTTGGCAAAAAAATTATCCTCCGGTTTCTAAAGAGCTGACTCCTTCTACTGCATTAATAACTTACTTTTCCTTATTCGAATCTCACCTTCGCTATGGTTTACCTTTCTGGGGTTCTTGTAGCTTATACCTTTTCGAATCTATTTTTAAACTGCAAAAAGAGCAATCCGCTATGTATTTGGTTTAAGTTGTAGGACACATTGCGAAAATTACTTCAAAAATTTCAAAATTCTAACCCTTCCTGCTCTATTTATTTTCGAATCCGTCTGCTTAGTTCGCAAGCACATTCAAAATTTATCCGAAAGACCGACTCGTAGATATCCTACAAGAAATTTAGAGACTGATGTTTATTTAACAATGCCCACTTCTGACCTATTAAAACATTCCATTACCTACAATGCCAAAAAATTGTATAATAACCTTCCGATGCAATTAAAATCTATAAATACATACGATAAGTTCCGAAGACTGGCTAAAGCTTTTCTTCTAGAAAGACCATATTACACAGTAGCAGAATTTTATAACGTACCTTAGACATTTGAGTTCCACATACAATGGCATTAATTAAATAATTAAATATTAAAGTTTAAATTTAATTTTAAATTTAAAAATTAAATTAGAATAATTATAATGACGGATATTGCATATCCATTGCAATTGTTATTCCTATTTTGTCTGTTTGTTTCTGTTTGTTTTTTCTGCTGTTTAGTTATTTTTATAATATGTTTAGTATTTAAGTTACACGCTTTGTCTATAAAATTTTTGTAAATTTTTTTACGACAATAAAGCATATCTCTCTCTCTCTCTCTCTCAGTCCATCTAATAACATATCTGTCAACATAAATAACGTATCTTTGCCCATAACTGAAAAAGCAAGAAATCTTGGCATAATATTTGATAATAAACTAAAGTTTTCTGATCATACTTCATATATTTTACAAAAATCTTATTATAAGCTAAAAACACTCTATCAAAGTAGACATTTGTTTAACAAAGAATTAAAAATGTAACTATGTGATTCTCTTGTTCTGAGTAATGCTAATTACTGCGATTACTTGTACGGGCCCTGTCTCTCTGTAAATGATTCCAAAAGAATACAAAATCTTCAAAATTCTTGCCTAAGGCTCATTTATGGAATAAAGAAATTTGAAAGGATTTTTCATACTCTAAAATTAGCTAAGCGGTTAAATATGCGAAATCGCAGAAAACTTCATGCACTAACTCCGTTTCACAAAACAATAATGAAAAAATGTCCACCATACCTTTATAACAAAATTACCTTCCGCACAGATATTCATAACAAGCATACTCAAAAGAAAAATGAAATTGATGTACTAAAACACAATATACAGCCGGTTAAGAACAGTTACTCATATCAGATATCGAAAGAATAGAACAATGTTACAGATTCCCTAAAAAACCTTTCTATTACCTCTTTCAAGAGTCGTCTATTCGTTAATATTTTCAATAACCAATGCAGAAATTTTGGGATTCAGTAATTTAATTTAGTAACTTAGGAATTTTGAAATTCAGGAATTTCGGAATTTAAGAATTTAGAATTAAAATATTTTAAAAACATTTAAAACTTAAGAATTTAGAAAATTAGAAATTCAAGAATGTAGAAATTAAGTAATCTAGGAGTTTTAAAATATGAAAATTTATAAAATGTTTAATGTATGTACAAATTTAAATTTATAAACAAATTTGGATAGCAAAGCTTAAAACTTTTTATGAATAACTTAAAAAAAAATTTCAATCATTATCTTTGTTATCTACGTTCCTAGGTAGGCAAATGAATTATTTTTTTATTTTTTTCCTCTGTACTCAGGCCTTTGAGGAAGAACAGCTTATGCTGATCAAATGGCCTATTTACCTTCTTCCTTGTTAACATAAATGGATATTTATATGGATATGTATGTAAAATAGAATTTGTATTATTTGTTTTCAAAGGTCAATAAAAATTATTATTATTATATAACTTTTACATGGCGATTATCCTACTATAGTTTTTATACAATGGTAAAACAGTGGTTTTAAAAGTAAAAATTTTTAAAAACTTTTCAATATTATTTTTTTTAATAATATTTGTGTGTTTCGAATGATAATAACGCATTATAAATGTTGTTTTTTTATTAGAATGATAATTAAAATGTTTAATTAGTAAATATTTTTACAGTAAAAATTTTGTCCAGCATTAAAACTCAACTCGTTCAATGTGCAGTTGTCGCCCCCAATATCGAAAGAACGATTTTGGAAGAATATCCATGGACCTTTTGTCAAATTGAATTGCTTTAGAATCCCTGAAAGTTTTTCAAAAGCCTATAAAAACCACTTTGAGATGAAATCGGTATACAAATAAAATGAGAATAGAACGTCGGATTATAAAAGTGGATTGTTTCAGAGGAATTGTTAATTTTGGTATCATGTATATACGAGGTACGTACCTTAAATTTATATATGGTCCTCTTAAAAAAAAGAAACAATAGAAAATATTAAAATATTAATAATAATAATATAATAATTTTTAGAAAGAAAATAATTTTCTGAACATGGTAGAATTTTTTAAAAAGTTTTTGGCAGTTCATACCTTTATGAGAGAATTTTGAGTCAAAACCCAACTGAGGTTGTGCGTTATTATTTGCTGTGACGCTGCGGGGCGACTTATAGATGCTTAATGGTGCCATTGGGTGAGGAAAACTCAACTCACTATCATAACTTGACGCTATTAAATCTAATTTCTTTTTTTTTATTACACTATCCGACAGATTTGCATCCAATTACGGGATAGGAACCATAAATACATTATATAAATACATAAATACAATAAAATTACATAAATAAAATAAATAAAAATTACATGAATACTATTCTAACTACATTGTTCCATTTAAAAGGAAAAAAAATACGTTATATAATTTAGGCTATGTTAAATTTTTTTGTCACTATGCTGCAGTCAAATATGTCCACGCTGTGACATAAAAGAACGTTATGATTATTACATATGCTGTAAAGTGGAGACGATTTTTGTAGATTTATCCTAGGCGTAGGCAAATAAAACATTTGTGTATTTCTTGTAGTAGGACGTGGTACGTAAATCTCAAGCCTATGTAGTACTTCTTCACAGTCAATTAGATGGTGAATAACTTTAAATAGAAATACCTTGTTACATGTTGATTTTAGAATAATTAAATAGGTATGGCATTTAAAACACATTCTTAGTATAAAGAATATTAACTTTTAATAAAATATTGATTTGTCTTGAATAAGAACCTTTGGCAATTTAAAGGATACAGGCATTTAAAACATATCCTTAATACACAGCATTTTAAAAAGGCATTGCTTTGTTTTGAATAAAACTTTTAATATGATTCAATTCATTGCACTTGTCTTCCCTTTTTTTTAAAGATCCTGATGGTTTTATGAGCAGAAAACGTGTAGCATAATGACCTGAAAGTATATGGTAGTTATTTCACTTAGTTTTCATCCCTTTTATATCACTATTTAGTTGTATTTCACGTTTGTTTACATTTTATTTCAACAATGTTTTGAAATTATTAATTATCGAAATTCGGGTTATCTTCTTCTTTCTAGGAAATAACTGTCATCTAATTTGTACGGTCCGATAGCCAATTCTTGTTCCGTGGTACGCATTTGACAGATAATATTAAGGGGATATTTGGTGTTGTGCTATTTGAAATCAATACCATTGATTGTCCATGACGTCATGTTATATTAGGGTGCATTTCTAGGAAAATTAGGTTTAATATTTAACTCTAGTTAGGAATAATATTTTATTAGGATGTATAAATCCATTTGGGGTCGAATTAGATTAATTTAGATAAGTTTTCTGGTAACTTGTGGCGATCACCGGAAGTGTGATTTCCAAAATATGTATGGTCATATCCTCCTTGGTGAAGTCATCTTGACTTCTGGAAAAGGGGTTTAATACGCCGTAGCCATGAGGTTCGAGGATTACAATTTTTCGTCTTTTCGTTGGGAACGGTACCGAGGGTACGTGGTTGACTGTTCGTCTGGCCTTGTGAGTCGATGGTCGTCGCGAAGCACGTGGGTAAAACCAAGACGTTTGTCACCGATAGTGATCGGATTATTAAACATGTTGCTGTGTCGCGCAGGGGTAGGTACCCTGAACCATTATTTTTGGGATTATTACGACCACGGTGAGCGAAGCCTGCTAACGGTCCGCATCACCGACTGTTTGTTTCAGACCTCCAGAGGGTTGTTGTCAACGACCACGTTGGATTCCGTCCGCAGCCGCTGTTCCAGTGTTCCGGAAATTCCAGACGCATCTGGGTGATAAAACAGAAGTAAAAGTTGAAAATGCTTTTGCCAGTTCTCCCACTTTATACACATGAATTGACAGGTTGGCAGCAAATCTCACCGAAGTAGACGCGATACATTGGCTTACAAAATTGTTTTATAGTTGTTAATAACAATTTCGAGTAAATAGTTTAATAAATTGTGAATAGCTGTTAAAATTTTGTAAAATTATGATTTGAATATTATAATACATGTTTAATAATTATTTATAATCCATAAATACATGAGATTGTCCGGTTCCGCCGATAACAATTTAAAATTACTTATTCTATGAAACGACACTGGCAGGTAAACATTACTGCGAAATTCTCGGAGCCGCCCGACGTGGTTTGACATTTACCCCCTCTCTACCTACCAAAAGACTTTTCAACTTTTACTTTCTCTATACGCTGTGATTACTTAGTCCAGTTTTGTTCATTTGATATCCTGCAGTCCTACAAGTTCTTAGCCAGTTTCCTATCCGGGGTAATCGTAACCAACACCAGTGGTGGAGAGAGTTCCATCGCTTGATAGATTTCTATCAGAAATCAGGTATCTGAAAATCTGCAAACCAAGGTATGAAAGACCTTCAGTCTAATAACTTCAGTGATACTAGTAATTTATATTCCGATTTATCATTTAAATTTTATTTATAAGAATAATTCTGTAACTGTATTAATTGTGCTTAAGCTTAACCTGCTGTAAGCCTTAGTGATCACGGGGTAATAATAATTGTTTCTTTTACTCTAATAATTTAGAATTCAGAGAATTCCTCTTTAACTTAAGTATTTTCCTTGTCATTTTGTATCATATCGGTAGTAAAACCATAGAGATCCTATTGTTGGGAGTCTCTGTTTTAGGTAGGTTAGTTTTAAAAGTGCTCTAGGTAAATGTATACCTATCTACCTTTTAGACAATTCAATAGCGAAATTTTATAAGAAAACGTATTTTTCAAAAATAGTAAATGCCATAATACCGACTCTTGCGTTTTATTTACTTAAACTTTAAGGATAATCAGTATTACTAACTATTTTATGACCCACACCTTTTGTCCCGAAAGCTAGCCAAAGTGATCTTCTTCTCTAAGCTCTAGGAGAACACTATAACCTTTTTTTGTAACGGTTTTCCAAATTCTAAATAATAATATACAAAATTTAGGAGGTTACCAACTAACACCGATCTTTGAGTAGCCGGGACTAATTCCTGGGGCCCGGCAACTGTATTTGTTTTGTTTTGTATGAGAAATTTCTTGAAGTGGGAGTACCACTAACCAAACGATCTCAAATTAGATTTGTAAATTTCATTTTATTATTACCTTTCGATTGTATCGGTGGTGCATTGGCTGTTAAAGTGGTGAGCATAAAAAGTATATAATGTCTTTATTAAATATCTCAGTAGAAATATTATTCAAACCTTTTGTTAATTATCAGTTTTTTAATAGTAAAGTTAAATATATTTTTATGATTCATTCTGGTTGCTAGAACGGCACAATATGTATAGTCACTAGTTTTTATTATCTGATTGGTCCATTTTTTTTTTAAAAAAGTAGATGTTTCAAATTTATACATCGTACAGAACCACGTGAAAAACAAAATCTATTTTTGCCTAGCAAACGAATGGAATCAGCCATAAGCCATAACGACATAAGCCATAACGACATAAGCCCTAACGTCATAAAACCATAATTCAACCGCTGTAATCTGAACGTTGGTTCTCGAGGAGCAGAAATCTCTTGTGAAAAGTTAGTTGATTAAAAAAGCGACAGCTACAATTCGAAGCTTCATAAGTAGAAAGATTAACCGACAAAGGCGTTGGTTTCCGAGGGACAGAAATCTCAACTACCTATGGCTATCTAGAAGTGGTTAGCTAACAAAGTAAAATGTGGTAATTACTAGTGACTAGAATTATTTATGTACGAATCACAATTTGACACCTGATAACTGTGAATAATTTGTTTTCGAAAAGGTTTCCTTTTTTTAAATAAAATCATTAATTTTTATAAGTATATATGTTTTTTTTTTTTTAATTTGAATTTTTGACTGCGGGAACTGAGTCCATTCGCCAAACCACAAGTAGTATATATGTTGAATCTTATTTTTTAAAGGTCACAAAAAATTCTCTTTCATTCACTAAATTCTGTCTAATTTTTATTAACTTCTTTTTATTGATAAAGCTAGAATTTATAATTCTCACTAGCTTTTAAAAATAAAAAAGGGAATTATTGGTACCCAACATTTCCTAGAAAGATTACTACCCTTAAAATTGTCTATTTGAAAAGCCGAATTCACGACCGAGAAAAGGATGTGCTCATTTATTTTTTTTTTTTTAATTTTTAAAGGTAAGTAACGTTTGATATTAAATTTCACTGAGATAGTAAAAATCTCTATAAGTGTTTTGAAATTAACATTTATCAAAAAGGTAACAATCAATATTGCAAATTGTAGCCTAACGGGTCAATGGAATATTGCACAACTCAAGCAGAGGAGGAAAACTTTTTGCTTTTTTTTTTAGAAAATTCAATTCAAGTAAACGATGAAAAGTTTTTGCTTGAGGAGAAATTTGAAGAGATTTTTTTGTCACGGGGTCCGATCTAGAGAATTCCTGGGGCCCGGTCTGGATCTCGGCGGCCCTGTACATGATTCACAAGTATTCTTTTGCATATGTTTTGAAAAAGATAGTTTTGAATCAAACGATACCCCAAGATATATGATTAAGTCTGCTCTAGGTATCAATGTAGCCATGAGCGTCGTTACACAATTCTATAGGGAGGGGCAAAAAATTTAGAATGTTTATTTGTTAAAAAACAAAAGAAAATGAAAAATAAAAGAGCAATACAAATTAACAAAAGTTTCTAATAAATAAAATAACCCAACAAAAAAGACAAAAACTAAAAAAAAAACAAGAAACTTAAAATACAAAAAAACAGAAGGTGTGATATAAAAGATAAATATATAACGTAGTATCAAAACGTATTAACAAAAATAATTGGTAAATTTGCGATTGTAATTTATATTTTTTTCATTTTTAGTTTGAAAAAACCAAAAGAAATTAATTATTAAAATTTCAGCCATTTCAGCCACATACAATAATCAAAAGCAGAAACCTAATCCTTGCTGAAC